GTGTGTGTGATACTAGGAATCAAACCCAAGGCATTGCCCATGCTAGGCAAGCACTCTTCCACTGAATTACACATCCAGACCTTTTACATGTTTATTTTAAGACAGGGCCTCACTAACTTGCCCAGGCTGGGAACTTGAGATCCTCCTGCCTCATCCTCCTAGCAGAGATTATAGGCATATGTCTCCATGGCTAGCTTTGTGCTGTAGTTTCTCTTACTTGATGTAGGCTTATATTGTTCTTCTTTCTCTAATTTCCTAAGGTGGATGCTTTGGGTATTGATTTTAGATCTTCCTTTTCTATTACATATATTCATCACTGTATATTTTTTTCTCTAAGCACTGTTTTCACTCCATCACACAAATTTCAATACATGGTACTTCCATATTCCTTTTATATATTTGTTTCTACTCTCATGAGACTCTTTGACCCATGTGTTCTTTATAACTGTGTTGTTTAATCTCTAAATATTGGAATTTTCTTCCAAGCATCTTTCTGTTATTGTTTTCTGGTTCAGTCTGTTGTGATCTGAGAGCACACTTTGTGTAAGTATTATTCTTTTAAATATGGTAAGGTGTGTTTACCACCTGGAATCTTGGTGAATGTTGGATATAAGCTTGAGAAGATGTGGATTATGCTCTTGTTGGAGCGAAGTATTCTGTAATTGTCAGTTGGACCCAGTTGATAATGATGCTGTTCAGTTCAATCATATTCTTACTGATTTTCTGCCTGCTGGATGTATTGATTGCTGATAGGGATGTTGAAGTCTCAAATTATGAGAGTGGATTTGTCTGTTTTTCCTCACAAGTCTCAGGTCCCAAAATTAAATGAGGAGAGGTTTATTTAGCTCAATTTGTAGAGGTTTCAGTCCATAGTCCACTGGCTCCAAGGCAGGGTGGCCGAGGGGCAACAGTTCTTGAAGACAGCAAAGGCAACAAGGGGCCTTAACAGCTTAGTTCTGCCCCTTTTATCCTATCCAGACTACTTAGGGCAGGCAGCACTCACACCTTTAATCCTAGTGCCCTCGGGGCTGGCCCGGCCAAGAATCAATCGCACACTCTAGATTCAGCCACCTCTGAGAATGTGAGGCTTTAGGGGGACATCTAGACACAGCCCCAACACTCCCTGACCCCAGACTTCCTTATTTCGAGTCTGCACTGTCTGAAATTAATATAGCAACTCCAGCTTCTGCACTTGATCTTAGCCAAAAGGCCGAGAAGTGATGGGACTCCAGCTTCTGATAGGTATCAGCACAATAGGTCATTCCCTATCTCTTTACTTCTTTCTTAGCGTTTCCATCCATCTGCTTATATTACTCATCTGCTCTTGCGTGTTGTCTACTTTACAGCCCTCAGCATATAATTACAGTAATTTTAACTTCTGTATCTGACATTTCCTAAACTTGTGTCATATCTAATACTGGCTCTTTTCAGACTGTGTTTTTTTCTTCTCTTTTAGCACGACTTATAAGTTTTTTATTGAAAGCCAGACATGATGTTATCAGATAATAAAAAATGAAAAATTAGGCTTTTAGTGTGAGATTTCATATTAATTTGGCAAGGACCTGGGCTTAGTTTATACTTTCTATACCTGCAAGGGTCAGAGGCTTTAAAAAAAAAAAATTTAGGGCCGGGGATTTAGCTCAGTGGTTCTGGCACCTACCTCGCAAGCACACGGTCCCGAGTTCGATCCCTGGTACCAAAAAAAAAAAAATTAGGGTCTCACTATGCAGTTCAGGCTGACCTTGAACTTACTATGTAGCTCAGTCTGGCTTTGAACTCCAGGCAATCCTCCTGCCTCAGCCTCCCGAGTGCTGGGATTACAGGCGTGTGCAACCAAGCCTGGCATGAGGTGTCTATTTTCTCTAGCTGCCTTGTTGTTTGTTTGTTTCCTCAACTGTTGTTTGGGGTTTCCCTTAAAACTCCTTCCTCAGTAGGGCCTGTGTCCTGTAGCTCCATTGTATTGGTGTTTGGGTAACAGTGGGTGTCATTTGTTGGAGAGGGGAAGTGTTCAATAATCTTAGGATTAAATCTCAGTTGTTAAGTAGACCAGAGTCCCCAGGCTGTGAACTTTCAAAGAATTTCTTCGCCTTTGTATACAAGTTTTCTCTTTACACAGAGTCAGCAAAACTGGAGGGCTTCACCTAAAGTCATTGCCCTCGGAGGGCCAGCCTTTGCTTTAGACATATTTCAGAACAATTAATTTCTCTCTTCCTGTGGGTAACACGAAGAAATATTTTCCAACTTTTCAACATGAGAACCTGGTGGGACTTCTGAAGGTGGAACACAAAAGTGGACCCCGTCCCTCAGTCTGGGCACTCAGGAGGTTTGAACTGTGGAGCTCAGAGCCTCCAGCAATGTCACAGTCACTATTTCAGTATTTCCATTGGCTTACTAAACACTGCAGCATCAATTAACAAACACATGAGCTTGTTGCCTTGAAGAGGGGCAAGAAATGGAGAAAAAAGGCAATGTTACATTTTTAAAAAGGGGAAACTCCAGTAACTAGCATCAGCACTGAGAGCTGTAAGGAGGCACACAGGATACAGAGTACCCTGTTCTGCCAGGCCCAGTGCCACCCAGCTCGGGGCCTGTGATATGGAACCCCATGATGACCTCGGGGAGCAGGGAGCCCAAGGAGGAAGAGAGGATTGGAAGTCACGCAGCAGGGAGTGGGAGGAAGCCCCAGAAATAGAGGTGTGCACCAGCCTGAGTGGGAGCTGAGGAGGCCCTGGGCCAAGATGTGCCTCCGGGGGGCCTTTCGTAGAGCAGCTCTCCCTACCTGGCTCTGCACAGCCCGTCTCAGGGACACAGCATGCCCTGGCCTTGCCGGGGACCCCATGTCCCCTGCCCTAGCATGTCTAATGCCTTGAGTGATGAGGAGTCTCAGATTTAACAGATTAGGGGAAGATGAGAAAATCCTCAGGGCCTCTCCCTCCCAGTGTCAAGGGACTGGTCTAAGTGAGCCCAGGGGTTTTGCATCTGGAGAAGCGACTAAAAGCCACCACTGCACCCTGCAGGCTGTAAACTCTACAGGAACAGGGACTGTGAATTCAGCTCCAAGTCCCCACTGTCATTTGGATCTAAAATGTCCCCCAGTGGCCTGTGTGTTAAAGGCTTAGTCCCCAGTGTAATGGAAACCTTTAAGAGATGGGACCCAATTGGGCAGGGTAGTGCTCCTCAATAATCCCAGCACCCTGGAAGGCTGAGGCAGGAAGCTGGCAAGTTCAAGTCCAGTCTGGGAAGTCTGGTCATCTGGGTGCATCCTTGGAGGGGATGGTAGGAGGCTGGTCTTTCCCCAGACATAAGGTGAAGGGGATTCCTCCTCCATGTGCTCCCACTGCAGTGTGCTGCCTCGCCCCAGGCCCAGAAGAAATGGCCAACTGACCATGGATTGAAAGCTCCAAGTCTGAAGCAAAGTAAATCTTTCCTCTTTTTAAGTTGAGTACCCCAGGTGTTTTGTTATGGTAATAACGATGACCTCCTGTTACCTAGAAGGTATGCATCAACTGGGCACACTTGTTTTTAAATTTTTCATGGCAAGAACCCTTAGCATGAGGTTTCCCTTCTTAACCAGTATGTAATACAACACAGCTGGCAATCGAAGTGATGCTGTACAAATTACTAGAGCTTATTCTCGTTTGGCTGAAATTTTATGCCATTGATTAGTTTATGAACCATTTTAAAGAATAAAATAATGTACACTCATTGTTGATGAGCAGAACAAAGTCTTTTGAGACTAGTAAGTCAGAATCCCCCACTGCCGCCCACTTTGATTATACCACGCTTCTTCTTTCTGTTTGGTCTTTCGTGAGAAGCTTTGCCCACACATCTGGTGATCTGGCTTCTCTCCCGTATGCAGTAGTGAATCATCAAAAGCCATTGGAAGTTCTGGGGGCTTAGGTGACTCCTTATCTGTGGGCTTCACCTTGGGGTGTTGGGGGAGGGACATGGCTATTTAGTTGGGGGCCCCCAAATGTCATTTGAGTCTTGGTATAATCTGAGCTCCGTCCTCTGGGGAGGCTCTGGGAGCCTGGGAGAATGGGGGCTGGAAGGCCTGAGCATCCCATGTGCAGGCTTGAATGTAGTTCCCCATGCTCTATCTCAGGCTTCGGTTTAGCATCCTCCTGCCACCACCTCCTCAGCCCTCACCCACCCTCTGCTGGGCCTGGTGTTCTTAAATTGAACGGAGATCATGAAGAAGATCTGGGGGGTCTAAGAGTTCACCCACACCTGCTATCACTAGCTTTGATCTACTCTCTGACTCTGTCAACTTCTTTTTTTTTTGGTACCGGGAACTGAACTCAGATCCTTGTGCTTGCAAGCCAAGCGGCAGAACCAGTGAGCTAAATCCCCGGCCCTCTGTCAACTTTTTCACCTTCCAAAGTTCCCGCCTTCCCAAGGGCTTCCTCCTTGTAACCCAAGAGCTCAGCCCCTCCAGGTCAGCTAAGCCAACCTGCTCATTCTGTTTTCATCTTCAAATATCTGTTGACATCTTTCATGCATCTTCTATTTGCTTTGCCTGATGGAATACCATTATATACCTTTAACTCCTACTCAGCAGGTTGTAGGAGAAGGTGGAGATAAATACCTGTGTTCAATCTGCCATGTGCAATGGCAGTGTCTTGAGCGTATCCTTTAACAGTATATGCTTTAACAGTATGTCGAGAAGTTGTTGTTTCTTTTTAATGGAGAACTGACTCCTTACTCAGAGGATGGAGAGTGGGCTTGAACATCCCAAGCTTCCAATCATCCTTGCTTTTCTGGTGATCAGCTGCCATATAAAAGCCTGCCGAGAGACACATCATTAGAACAAAACACATTCCTATCATTCAGGAAATTCCAAGAGATTGGGATGTTTGAGTTAGAGACGATATCAGTCAACTTTTCCACTGGTGGAATAAAGTATCTGACATACACATGTTAAAGGGCAAGAGGTTTATTTGGCTCATGGTTTCAGAGGTTTCAGTCCATGGTGGATTGGCTCTAAGGTAGAACCATGATGGCAGAAGGGCACGGCAGAGGAAAGCTCTCGTTTCATGGCATCCAAGATGCAGAGAAAAAGAAGGAGCCGGGAGCAGATATCCCTTCGAAGGCATGCCTTCAGTGACTTCCTTCCTCTAACCGGTCACCACTCTCAACAGCCCATTCAGCCATGACCCCATCCAGGAGTTAATCCACTGAAGAGTTTAGCAACCTCAGGATCCAGTCACTGCTCTCATCCCTACCTCTGCATGGTGCTGTATGGGGATCAAGCCCTCAGTATACAAGTCTTTGGGGGTTACTGCATATTTAAGCCATAACAGGAACCAAAGTCAAAGATCAAATATTAGAGCAAAGACGCCCTGGAATCCCTGTCTCTCAGGAAATTTCAAAGGGTTTAGGAGCTCTTTGCCAGGAATTGGAGGCAGGGACCAAACATATTTCTTATCATATCACAATATTACAAGGAGCAGATCAGGTGGAGCCTTGAAGATCACAGTCATTCATTTAATCAGTGTGAATTACGCACCTGCTATGTGCTGAGAAATAGTACAGGCACCACAGGCAGAGGAATAAATAAGACGAAGTCACTTTCCTCACACAGCTTCCCCGCCAGTGATAGGAAAGAGACAGCGTATGTGAATGAATCTTATCAAAGCACATGGGAGAAAACAAATCAGCGGAATGAGACAGGGAGTGACTCGGAGGAGGGCACTACTTTGTATGGGTGGTGTCAGGAAAAGTCTGAGAGGGAGGAAGGAGCCAACCATGTGACATTCACGGCAATGCACATTCCTGGCAGAGGCCAATAGCAGGTGCAAAGGCCTTCAGGAAAGAGCAGACTTGGATGTTTCAGGAGGCAAATACAAGGAGTTGGTGTTTTATTCCAAGTTCAGTGGGAGCCATTCAGGGTGCCGGCAGGAAACTATCAGGTCTGACTTAACTTCTCAAAGAGTGCAGTAACTGCTAGGTGCAGAGCGACTTGCAGGGTCTCAGAGGCAGGAGGGAGAGCAGGTAGGGTGCTCTGCCAGCAGACAAGGCAAGGGCAGACACTGGAGGCAGAGGAGATGAAACAGGAGGAGGACATCTTGTCACACCTGGCCACTAGGGCAAAGAAAAGAGAAAGGTGAGGGGCACTTCCTGTGAGACAGAGGGCTGGGTCTCTGGTGGTGCCTTTTGCTGCCATGGGGAAGAACTGGGGAGGCACATTGTAGGGTGGGAAGGAACAGTTAAGGGACCTTCACGGAGGGCTCACTGTGCTCATGCCAAGTTTCTGGGGGACACCTGGCCTCACCTGGCTGTGGCGCTGGATGCCTGTGTGAAACACGTGGAGAATGGCATGATGCCAACCATCACGACTGCAGTGTCGGTCAGATTTGGCTGCTGCCTTGTCCCTTACAAAGCCCTTTCGCACTTTATCTATTCAACACCACAACCAAAACATGTAGTATTGCCTCCATTTTACAGAGGAGGAAATGGAGGCTTAGTGGCGGTGATGAGCCCCAGCTTGGCCAGCCAAGATGGGTGTGAACCAGCCCAGGCTCCAGGATTTCCACATGGGCGTCTGCTCTGTGGCGGGGCACCTTGAACTTCATTTTCTATGAACCACACGGGCTCATTTGGGTTTGGAGTGGGAGGGGTGGCTGGCAGAGGAGTGAGAGCTGCTGGTGGAGTGAAAAAGAGGGAGAAAGTACCCCAGAGTACTTTGGGGGGGTCCAGTGAGGTACTCAGACCTGCTTGTCTCCAAGCTGGTTTTTCCTGATCCAGACAAAATGGGTTGCTTAGAGATGGTGGAAGTTGGGGTGCAGTTGATTGGAGAGGAGCAGGCTGCATCCTGAGAGAGGTCTGTGGGATTCAAGGGCCAGGGAGTGCACTGGGAGGAAAGCACAGCAGGCTGTGAATGAGGGCACGGGGCCTCACTTAGCTCTATACCCTAGGACTGGGGCTGAGACCCACTCTGTGGGCGGGCACCCTGCCTCCGACATGACTGTCATTCAGTCCAGTTGGCACTGCACTGCTGTCCTGCCCAGCCTGCCTGCCTCAGCTGAGGTGACACAGGGTGTTAATGGTCTCACCCTCGCTGCATGAGTGAAGGGCAGTTTCCTGGCTGGGACTTGCAGTCAGTGAACATCAAGAGCTCCCTGTCAAGACTTCCCTCCCTCTGCCTCCTTGCCTGGCCACACTCCTTGTTCCCAAAGCTCCGTGCACGCACCTCGGGCCCTGGCCTCCCACCCCGCCCTGGCTGGGTGCCTCTCCTAGGCTTCCTGTGCATCCGTTCCTCTCACCACATGTCATTGCTGCTGTGTCTGGTGGGATTCTTTCCAGATGGTGAGACAGCTGAGTCACAGATGTGCACAAAGCTGCCTTTCCCTACTCTGTAGAAGCATCGCCTCCATTTTCATGCCTCTTCCTTCGATGCGCAAAGCTACCTCCGTCCTGGTGCCACTCCCAAGCTGTACTGCTCCCGGTGGGTTTATAGTAAATTTTGACCAACATGTCTCCTACCATTACCACCTTCCTTTCTTCCTCTTCTTCTTTCCTTCCTTTAGAAGAACAGACTTTTTTTTAATCCTATTGTTCTCCATGCAAGAGCATGTTCAAGTCTTCCTGCAGGTTTATGTCCTGCGTAAGTTTCAGACTTTGCCATTAAACTTATCATTATTACATTTTTCCTAAATATTTTATAGTATTTGACACTATAATCAGACACTTTACTTCTACTTATAATTAACTACTACTGATATAGAGAAAAGCTATCCATTTTTGCTTATTTACCTTATATCCAGCCTCCATAGCAAACACAGCTGTTGTTTCTGGTTTATTTTTCTAGAGTTTAGAAAAACCTAAGGGTTTTCTAGATATCCAATACATATCTGCAACTATTGGCAACTGTGTAATTCACACAGACACACACACACCATGTATATATTTTTTCCTTTGTGTGATAGCCCAAAACTTCAAAACAATGCCCAGCAGAAAGAATAGTAGCCTTCATCTTTGTTTTAGTTTTAAATGCAAAGGCCTTAATGCTTCAAAGTTTCTGAGGTTCACTGTAGATTTTGAGGAAAGAGGGCACATACGTGCCTTTCCTGGGGCACTTGTGCGGAGACCAGGCCTTCAGTGGGCGGGGTGCTCCATGGGACTCCCTGGGAGCCTAGGGAAGGGATGTTAGTCTTTGTAGGGAGGAGTCACAGTTCAGAGCCTCTGAGCACCCCCAGATTCTGGAGACCCCCACATTCTTACCAGACCAACTTAGAGGAGCTTTCTTGCTACAAATATTAGGTTTCTATGCACTTTTTTTTTTTTAAAAAGAAATGGTATAGGACAAAAATTTAAAGAAAATAATAAAGTAACAATAATAAGAAGAAGAAACAGCCACATTAGCAAAGGTAGTGATGCTAATGATGAGGCTGCCAGGCACATGGGAGCCCTGGGCCTTTAGGGATGGCTCAGCACCTGGATGCCACAGTGGCTCCTCCCGAGACAGGAGCTGAAGCAGAGGGACCTGGAGCTGCCAGGCAGTCTGTATGTGGGGGAGAGAAGACTCTGGCCCCTGGGGCTCAGGGCCACGGCATCCTCACTCCCTGCCTGTCCCGACTGCGGCACCTCTGCTGACTGCACCTCTGTAGGACCCCACTAGGCTCCATTGCAGGGTTCCCAGCAAGAGGGCAGAAACAATGGAACAAAGACTGTGACCAAGGAGGGAGGCAGAGCCCATCCATCTGGGTAGCATGGCCAGTCCTCTCAGGGACACCAGGGGGTTATCTGAGAGATGATGGATCCCTGAGGCCCACAGGGGCCTAGCAGGAATGACAGGCTGGAATAAAGCTGCTGTGCACCCCACAACACTCCTCTTAAGAATTTCCTTTACAGATAAACCGGAATTCAGGGAAATTAGGGAGCTCACTTACGGTTGCACAGATGGAAACCCTGACCACTAGACATGCCTGTTTATCCATCAGACTCTTCCTGGAAAGCCCAAGGACCAAGACCAGATCCCCTAGAAGTAGCAGGGTTTTTCTGGGGGCTCTGAAGTTCATGCATGCTCCAGGTATTACAGATAGGATAAGTAACAAGCAAGTGCACAGGGCGTGTGGTAAGTTGAAAAGTGACTGCCCAAAGGCAGGTTTACCTGGACTCTCAGCATGTGGCCTTGTTTGGAATAAGGGTTCTTGCGGAAGTCATGAAGGTGAGGATCACAAGATGAGATCATGCAGGGTTGGAGCATCCTTGTAGGAGACGGAAAGGAAAAGAGAAACAGGGACACGGGCAGGCTGTGGGGACGCGAGGCAGGAAGCTGGGGTGATGCTTCCACAGGCCATGGGACACCAGGAGCCTTCAGAAGCTGGAAGATGTAAGGTACGAGTCTCTCCTAGAGCCTCCAGAGGGACTGTGGCCCACCATACCTTGGGTTCAGACTTCTCTCTCCAGAACTGTAAGAAAATACAGTTGTTTTTGCTGTCATTTGTTGCAGCAGTCAAAGGAACGCGTACAGCACAGGCATCCATAATTCTTCATAAAACAATCTCTAACATCATAGTTACAATTTATTATTATGTATTTTAAAATTAACAAATATAAAATAATACTATCATGTGGATAGTGAAAATAAAGCTACCAAGCCTGGAATGGTAGCACACTTATAACGCCAGCACTCTTTGAGGCTGAAGCAGGAAGATACTAAGTTTCTGGGAAACTTATCAACTTAGTGAGATCTTATCTTAAAATGAAAAATTATAAAAGGCTGGGGGTGTAGCTCAGTGCAAAGGCCCTGAGTTCAGTCTCTAGTACTTACACACACACACACACACACACACAAATCACTGTCATGAAAAGTTTCCTTTGCAATCCTGTTATCTTGCAGATAAAGAAACAGTTCAAGAGAAAACCGCGGAGAAGCAGGAGATGAGTCTGGGAGGCTCACAAGTTATTTCTCTTTTCCAAGGGCCCTTAGGTGTGGGGGTGCATGTGGCTCTCACCAACCCACAGGAAGGAGATCAGAGTCATGCTCAGGCGGCAGGAGGGTTACAAACACCTCCCACCTTCCTCTCTGCCTCCCAATTTGGCAACACTAAGAGGCCAGTTTATGGTTGTTCCAGAAAAGTAAGAATTGCTAAAGGCCTTTGGGTCTGATTTGCTCAACCCCCCCACCCCGCCCCCTGCTACTTGACACCCCACCTCTCCCGTGCCGCCCCCAGCTCTCTCCTCATCTGGACTTAGGCACTCCCAGCTGGCATGAGACAGGGCGGTCAGTTAAAAGCAGAGCTGCACCTGGAAAGCACATCTGCACTGGGCAGAGTTCTCCCGTCACTGAGCTGGCATCATGGCACCGTCTGTGGCCTGGGCAGGTACGTGAGCAAGGGCGGGAGAGAGGGCTGGGCCTCTAGAGCCCTAGGGAGATGGACACGTGCCTGGCCCTCGGCTCAAAGCTACTCTCTGCAAGAAAGGGGGAGGGCTCAGGGGGTTGGGGAGGTCCTGGCTTGCAAACCACCGGCTGCCTTTCCTGGGGCCCTGTCTTTCAGTCCCAGAGTCTTTGTTGCAAGGCAAGGCTTTCCTCAAAGAGCCATGAATGACTTTCCTCTTTCTGACCTGGAAACCCGGAGTCAGCAAGTCCCTCCACGAGGTGTCTTGTCTCTCCTGTGTTTGCAGTCCCTCCTTTTGGCCTTACCCAAGAAGCCCCCATATGAAGGGCTTCCTCCAACCCCAAGCTTGTCGGACATCCTGCAAAAGGGCAGCCTTGGATGTCCCTGCAAATTTTCCTGCAGGTTTTATTAGGCTAAGAGAAATCCCGAGGTCACCGGGAAAGTGGAAGAAAACTTTTTGAAGGAGCTTGCCAGCTCTAGATCTTCCAGGACTTCACTATGCCACCAGTCTCTTACAGTGGGCAGGGAAAGCAGCAGAAGCCGTGAATCACAGCAGAGGCACCATAACCTACTGGACCCAGGGTCTCCCTGCCCAGCCCCTCTACATGGGCTCCCCCCAGCCCCAGGACATGTTTTCTTCTTGCTCCACAGAGAAGCTGTCTGTGAATTTCTCACATGTCAGCAGTTTCCCCTCCATCCTAAATCCACACCACCTTCAGGGAGCATCAGCTTCTAGAACCAGCCCTGGCCAGAAAGGGGATCCCTGCTATCTGGCTTGGGTGAAGGGATGGACACAACCCACTCTGGGTCCTACCTGGAAGGAGGACGTTTGTTTCAAGTGAAACCAGCCCTCCCTGACCACCTCCACCCTTTGTGCTACTGTCAGCAGATGGGGTCTGGGGCAAGAATGGTGACGTGACCCTACCTTGTTTCTTGTCATCTCAGGTGTGATGTTCCTGCTGGTGGTCCAGTGGGGTAAGTGGCATCTGCCCTGACCCCAACCCTGAGTCAACTCAGCCCCTCCCTGGGCTCTGCTCCCCGCCCCGCCCCGCCCCTCTGCACACACCCTCCGAGAGCCGGGGCTCCCCCAAAGCTCAGCCCCTCGGATAGCCCTGATGTTCCTTCTCCAAGGAAGGTCTTGCCCCTGCCCATGTGCTGACCTCCTGGCTGTCAATGGGGCCAGCTTAACTGTCAGGCTCCCTAGGGCCTCCCCTGAGCCCTTGCCACCCTCTGTCACTCACAGCACTCAAACATGCTTTCCAGTTTGCATCACGAGGTCTCCCGGGCCAACTCAGTCCCCAGAGGTAAGGAACCCAGGTCTTAGGCAGCTCTGTGTCCTTAGCCCCAGGAGATTCTCAGGAACTCAGATTCAGGGTCCCCTTCCCATCCCACCTGCTCCTTGGGGCTCTGTGGTCCAGGAATGTTCATCCTGACCCTCAGCCCGAGGCTGCTGCCCTTCACACTGAGCTGTGGAACTGGGCATACATTCCCACCTTGGTCATACAGGCGGGGATAGGCATAGACACTCCAGGGTCCCTGCTCTTACCAGTCAATTTACCATCACCATGTTTTATTTTGGGGGTGCTGGGCACTGAAGCCACAGCCTTTCCCCTGAGCTACATGCCTAGGCCTCTTTGCACATTTTCATTTGGACCAGGGTCTCCCTAAGTTGGCTTGTCACCCGGGTAGGCCCAAACTTCCCACCCTCCTGTCTGAATCTTCCAGATTGCTGGGACCACAAGCATGTTGAATCACGCCCAGCTACTCACCCCTCTTTACTGCTGCCACCACACAAAATCCACAGGTGGCATTTGATAGGCTGCAGCCTGACATGGCAAGCAAGAGCCTCTGGCTCCTTCCTGGGTGGTCCAGCTCTGGGCCGATCCTCTCCTTCCCCTTTTGGCCTCCATCTAGCTCACTGAGGGCTGTATCCTGGCCCTGCCAACAAGCTCTGCTCCCAGGTGACCTCTGTTAAGGTCGCCCTTTGTGCTTTCTCTTACAGCTTTCTGCACCCTGGCTGTCCTCCATCCTCCTGCCAGCCCGGTGGGGATGTGCTGGTCTTGGGGCCGGGTACAGGTACAGGCACACTGCTGTCCAAATCACCACTCCTCCAAGTCCATGGCATAAGTGTTGGCTCATCCAAACCTCCCATCATAGGGGTTAGGATGGGAAGAGACCTCAGAGATCTCACTGCCATTTCAGATGGGGCGATGCCCAAGGAGACACAGACTGTAGTCCATTTTGGCAGATGCAGATACAAGTTCTGCCTTCCCATGTCCCGGGCCACCCAGCACAGGGCTGACCTCTGGGTGCCGTGACCCTGATCCCACTGGAAACAGGGCCTCTCCTGCCAAGTCTTCCCACATGTTGTAGAGGACTCCAGAGATAAGCTGCCTCTTCTGAGATAAAATAAGCTCTTTTTTAGCGCATGGGCAGTGATCCTGATAAACATATCTTCTCCACAAGGGCTAAGAAGTTAAAGCAAACCACTTTGATGCAAGATTAAAGAAGCATAAACTAACTGGATCCAAAAACCCGGGCCTCCTCTCTGCTGCTCTATTCATTTGCATTTTAATTAACATTCTGAAATATTCCCAGCAGGGTTTCAAAGTCTTGCTTCCCTTCCTCTGGCAGAGGAACATACTATGTTTAATTCCCTTTGCATCTTGTGTTGGGGCTGCCTGGGCTGCTCTCTGGGACAGGTCTGGCCCTGGAGGGGAGAGTCCAGTTGGGGACAGGGAAGGCTGCCTGGGGACTTGGGCTCTTTCAAGGGTGCAAGGGGTCAGGAGATTTGGGTCCTGGGCCCCCATGCCACCCTCTTAGCAGCCTTGATGCCTGGGACAGGTCCCAGCTTATGAGCCTCAGCTCGCACATGGCGAAATGACCATGGCAACAGTGCCCTGGCCACTCAGTGACCTGAGGATCCCACAGCTGGCCTTGAATTCGTTTTCCTAACTGAGAGATGCTGTCCTGCACCAAAGCAGATGCGGTCTCTGACTGTCAGGCCACTGTTCATCAGACAGATGCCTGGGCACCGCTGGTCCCAGCCACCCTTTTGACAACGGTGCTGGTTTTGCCCAAATTCGCCAGGTTCTGCAGCAAAATTGGTCTGCTACTTCACTAACTGGGCCCAGTACCGAGAGGGGGCGGCTCGCTTCTTGCCTGGGACCGTGGACCCCAACCTGTGCACACATCTCATCTACGCCTTCGCAGGCATGAGTGGCCACCAGCTCAGCTCCCTGGAGTGGAATGACAAGCAGCTCTACCAGGACTTCAATGGCCTGAAGAAGATGTGAGCACAGGGGAAGAGGGACCCCCTGGGGGGTTCTCAGAGCCAGACACCTCCTGCATCCCTGCCACAGACCTGCTGTGTGGCTTCGGGTCACATCCCCCCTCTGGGCTTCTGCATGCTTATGTGGAAGAGGTGGGGTAGATTAGAGAACTGTTAAGGGCCCTTCCAGTTTAGATCCAAGCAAACTCAGGAGCCTGGAACTTGTTTACTCTCCAGAGAAAATCCTTCCTTCTAGGAATGCCCTAAAATCTATCCTTTCTTTAGCTCAAGTGTTAAGGCCATCTTTACAAAGCCTCCCTGAGGACCCTGATTACCTGCTTCCTGGATTCTTTGTGTGTGCACACGTGAGTGCTGTCTCCCCAGAAAGACAGCAGGTCCTACAGACCACACACAGGCTCTCTCTTCCCCCAGAGAGAAGCCTGGGCTTATGCATCCCCAGCTCCCAACCCTATTGCTTCTACCCAGAAGCCCTATGAGCTGTTGGGCTCAATCCTCAAGCATCTTTTGTATTCACAGGAACCCCAAGCTCAGGACCCTGCTAGCCCTGGGTGGCTGGAGCTTCGGCACTCAGAAGTGAGTGGACTGCGGGCACCTGGGTGGCAGGGCCCGGGGACGGGAACCAGAAGAGCCATTGACATGGAATCCAGCCCAGCGGAGGGGTGGGAGAGGGAGAGCTGCCCTTTTGGGGCTGACTCTCTCTCTGGGTTCATGGTGGCCTGGCAGGGGCACAGCAGAATAGGGGGTGGCCCGATCTTGTCAGAAGCATGACTAACAATGT